CTGAGAAAAAATATTTGGTATTTATAAGTATAAATATTATGATAAAGAAAACCATTTTTTAAATTAAATTCTATTATAATGTAATAATGTAATGTGGTAATAATAACCTGAAATGCATGTTACCATTACTACTACCATTTTCGTGTTAGAACAGCCAAAAATATAGTTGGAGCTAAAAGTAACTATAATTTTAGTTAGATCCGTCATTTATTCTCTCAGTATGAGCTTCTTACACATCTAGAACATCTAAACTTAAATTATCACAAAGTGTCAAGGAGATGAGATCAGAAGGAGAGGATATAATCCAAGTTTTCTCCCTCTCTTTGTAGTCTATATTTTCCATGAAGTGCCAGAGAGTAACTATGCAAAATTTAATCCATCAAAGGGTCAGTCAAAGGGTTTAGGAGTTAACAAAGAACATAAATAGACATTCTATATGTTATATATAGAGACGATTATAAATGAATATATGTTATCACACAGTATCTACTGCGAAAAAACGTTTTATTTTTTAGATATTTTTTTCTTTCAGTGCACATCGACAGTACACAACTAATCTTGCTAAAAATGCCACTAGTTGGTCGCAAACGTGACAGTTCCAACGCAAGTTGCTGTAAAATCGAATATATCCGAAAATAAAGCGGAACTTTCCCCTTATCACCAATTAGACCTTCTCTCCTCGTAGAATGCTCGGTACACAGACATTCACGTGTCGATGGCCCTCTCTGCATCCGACGCATCCGGATCCTTGCGGATCCATTCACGCCCCGTCGCGCGCGTTCCATCGATTTCTTAGAGCCCCTGCCGCTTATTTATGTATCCACCTTTTTGCAAGCGTGTCGCGTATTGCGTCGATACAGAATCGTCCTGCGTCGCCGTGTGTGTGCCGAGAGAGTTCTATAAATATTTAGTAGCTCTTATTTCTTTCTCTATATAACCCGCGCCGTCCGGCGCGATACTTGAATTTTCTTCACCGTTTCTCCTCTTATTAATTCCGGAGACCACGGTCGGCCGCGCAAGCGGAATTCGAAAGTATTTTTATGAAAATGTAGAAACATCCGCCGCCTCTCGCGAGTCTGCGAGCGATCCTCTTGGCGCGAAACTATAAAGATGTATATTTGTTTTTACCTCCGTGCTGGGACGGACCTTTCCCGACGCGAATAAATGAAGGTGCAAAGGGAGACGCATACTTTGTAGTTCTGGGAAATTATTGTCTACCTTCTCAGCTAACAATATACTTTATTGATACGACTTACGCTGATAGAAAAAAGTGGTCGATCTGACTAAGATTATAGTTATTTTTAGTTCCAATCATATTTTTTGGTTGTCCCAACAAGAAAGTGGTAGTAATAATATGCATACAAGGTTATTATCAATAACAGTACAATAGAACTTAATAAAAAAATAGTTTTCCCTTAACCATAATTTGTAATAATTATTTCTTTACGCGATCTATTTTATGGCAGTTACAAATACATCAAACATTTTTTTCTCAGGATGCGCCTTACGTACGAAGGCAGACAAGCATATTATTTTACGATACACTCCCAAAGAGAAATGAGAGGAGCTGCGTTAAGAAGAACCGGGTTGTTATCCTGCGAGTTCTCTCCCACTTTCTCAGCCAGTTACACTTTCAAATATCAAAATCGCGAGTCGAGTCGAGAGTGATCTTGACGCGGGTGATGCGGCAGAAAATTCGTTCGCGAAGACTCGCACTGAGCTCTCGCCTCGTTCTCGTTCGAGACGAAGTTTCGCGTCCGACGAGATTTCCTACGTAAATCCCTTAAAGAAGCGCGCTCTGCGCACGATAAAGGGTTATATCGCAAGAGACCCTCGCGCGCGCGCATATACACACAACACACCGGCTTTCGCACCACGTTGCGTCGCGTATGTGTGAATGGAGGGATTAAATAAAATAGGTCGCGTTGCGCCGAGCCGCGACAAATTTTATCGTAAACTCGCTCGAAATCTCGTCGTACGTCGCGAGTTCCATCGCGACAATTTCGTCGCAGTTTCATCGCAGATTTCGTCGTCTCTCGGCAAATCAAAATTACGCTGCACATTCGGTCGATTTTCCAAACAAACGATAAGAATCTCTCTCTCTCTCTCTCTCGCAGCGAAAGTTCAACCATATACATTATATCTAGATCGATCGTTAATGAGTGAAGGCCAGACTGCACTTAGAAAAGGACTCTCACTCTGTTTTGTGCTCCTTATGTTCTTTCTGCTCCACATATGTGCAAGTACACTCTTTTCTACATGCACCTCAACCCCCTCATTCTTCCTATAAGCAAACGCTCGATCTAGATACACCGTGTGTGTTGTGTGTATCTATGGGTTCAACATTTTCTTTTTTTTTCGTTATCATTTAATTCCTCACGTGAGTATTAATTCACGTCCGTATGCAGCGCGAACGTACGTGCACGTGATAAATGCGATACGTGAATTCACCAATTATTATTTCCGAGTTTAGCGCGTCCACGACAGCCGGGCCGTATCGAGATAGCGTGCCGTGTTTAATTTGTAGAGTGAGAGAGCGAACTGCATTTAAAGGGTAAACAAGATACTAATTTGATCGTGCAAATATCACGCCCCTGCCGTTGCAATATTCCTGAAGGGAAGTCGCGACGTGATTGGCTTATTTATCGTTTAACTAGCGATGTCGCATTGAAGGGCGGAAACCTCGGTTCGGATTCGCATGATATGAAACACAGGAACGCGTCGTTGGGAGCGCGTTTGTTTCGAATCATGTGATATATTCAGAAAAAAAAATAAATAGCAAAAAATTGTATTGAGTAATAAATAATGATGCTTCATATACAGGCTGAAGCATGTAAAGTTTGACAGATGAATGTCTCTAACAATATTGGCAACAAGAAAAATTTTTATCGAGCAAACAGTTCAAATGTTTCAAGTATTATTATTTTCGAGCATTTTTATTTTTTTCTATATAAATTCATCAAAGAGATAATTACGAAATACGAAGAGAATAGTGAAAATTTGTTCAAAACAACATATGCAAGATGTGATATGAAAATCTGCATGTAACTTTATTGCAGTAAATTTATTGTCAACTACATCAATCTAATACAAAATTTACATTATTGTACGATGTAGATTTAATGATTAATTCAATATTGTATTTCTCATAAATGATTAATTTAATAATTTAATCTCTCATAAATGTAAAAAAAAATTGTAAAGTTTCCATTATATCGATTGTCTCACGTCGTGACAATCACGAAAGACACTTGTCCTGGTATTTGCCTGTCACTTTTTATGCCTGGACGTCGACCTTGCCGCGTCAGCTAACTGTTTCCGCTTGATCGAGCGATCGAGGCGCTCGGCGTCGAATTATAAATCCCGGACATTGGCCCGTTCTATTCGAAGACACGATCTAGGACTGAGATAAATCCGCGAGAGCTCAACCGGCCGATTAAACGTGCCGCGAACCGTTTTGACAACTCCGTGTGAACTCCCGTAACAAGACGTACCAGACTCTCGTCAAGCGCAGCCCACCGTCCGGCCGGGTCGCCACCACCATATGTTTCCGCCGACGTTTCGACGGTATCGCTCGTAAATCTACGTCGGGGACAGCCGACACGGGCGGACAGATCGGCCCCGGCGAAAAGGGTCCCGACGATCGCGATAAATCATCGGCCGCGCCGCGCCGGGTCAATTACAAAGCCGCGTCGGTAAATAACGAATTACGCGGCTTTCAATTTGCTCGTACGGTATAATGGCCATGGCCACCGTCGAATTCCGACACCAACAGCAGCATCACCGACGAGCTGGTCGCTCATCTCTCGCTTGCTCGCCCGCGATCGATCCGCACGTATTCGCCGGTGGATCGACCGGACTACATTCCCGGCTTTCGCGTTCTCGTTAGTCTTCATTAACGTCGCGCCACCGCGGTCGTGCAGGACGCGGCCTGACGAATGAACGGAAAAAAGAGAGAGAGAGAAGAAAAAAGAGGAACGCACTCGCAGCGCGGAAGGTATCATAGGCGAAATGGACGCTGCACTGAATTTCGAACCCGCTCCGTCTCGTGCACGTCCGCCTTCGCGTGCTTGCGCTGATGGACAGGTGTATGTAAATTTGGCAGCGACTTTACGTTTTGTACTACGCGATGTGGAAAGATTGTACCCCTTGACAATGTTTCACGTGGCGCTATTCACATGGCGTATTCATCGCATAAAACGACGAAATACACTGAGAGAAGAAATATCAGAAAAAATAAAAACTATTCGATGGGTGTTAATATATATTTACTTCCATAAGTAAGAAAAGAATAATTCAAAAATTAAATTACTTGAATAACATATATATTTACTTAAAAATTTCAATTTTTTTACTTAAATAAAATAATTGCTTTCATAAAAAACTAAGAAAATTACTGTCTTGTTTAAAAAAAAATTTAATATTAGGGAGAGAGAGAGTAAAAATAAATATGTTATTATATAGCATCTAATGAATGAATACTTTTTATTTCTTACATATTTTTTTCCAAAATGTAGAAATACGAAAAAGAAGTGATAAAAAATTACTCATTTTACACATAAAATATAACATACTGATCTCAGAATGATTCTTGGCCAATTCGTTGCTGCATCAATATTATAAAAAATTCACATCATTCTATGATGTATAAATTTAATTACTAATTCGGTACAATTAATTTAATGCAGTAATATATTTGTTCTATGAATGTAATTAAAAGATTTGTAAAGTTTCAATCATCGTTTGTCTCATGTCGTGACAATGTTGAGTCTATCTGGATAGGTATCGAGCAGCAACGTATTTATATGTTCGAAATTCTGCGACATTCGTGAGAATAAAAGGTTCGCGTATATATAATTGTCGCATAAGTGTATCCTGCAATTTTTCCATGTCCCATCACGAACCACCCCATCAACCCTTCATCTCCCGCGAAAAGTCTGCAATGACAACATAGAGACTCTCTGTCCGCGAGCTACAGCGTCGAAACCGCTAACTTTCAGTGCGCCGGATAATACTCTCGGAGGTCCCCTCGAAGGTCGATTCGTCCGCACCATCCCCGGTCCACAGGACGCAGCGCTGGAACATCGCGACGACATTGACCGTCGCTCGTAAATCTTGGATCGCGCGGGGCACGCGGGCGGACCGAGAGAGCGTTCGCAGGCGCAGCAAAGAGGTGGGAGGGATGAAGGGTCGGCCTTGAAGGGTTCGGGGCCTGCCAGGCCTACCGAGAGAAGCGGAGCCGACCGCCGGGGGAGAAGGAAGGCTCGTCAGCCCCCCTGAACAAAGGGTCGAGGCCTGGCGCCAGGTCAAAAGCTCGGTCACAATAGGTTGCCTGCAAAGCTCTGGTTCCAGGGGGTCGGAGGCGGAGGAGGGTGGTGGCGTCGGAGGCACGGGAGGTAGCACGAGCATGTGCTGCGTCCTTCAAGGTGCCGAGAGAGTGTTCCCCTCCGCGAACGGAGGGAAACACGGGGCAGGCCCGGGGGGCAGTAAGGGCGTCGGCACCCCTGTTGGCGCCCACGACCTGCCCCTCGAATCGCTCTGGGCGGCTGGCCTTGACGAAGGGATGGGATTCCCGCAGAGATGCTCGTATGCGAACCAACACACCACCCTCGCGACCTCCTCTGCCAGCAGCCACGCGTCCGCAAACCCCGAAGACCTCTGGAGGGAGAGGAATCTCACTCATAGGTATACGCATGCAGAATGTCCGACATAAGACGCGCCAAAGCTCGCGCGTGTACAGGTAGAATTCATCAAATCGAATGAAGAATTCTTCTACACATTTTTATAGTAAATATTAATATAGCAAGTAATAGGAAATATTGCTGAGGAATGTTTATAATTGAGGACCACGTCGACGTGTCGCCTTAATTTGTTATCTTTTTTTTATTTTATGTATTACTTATATTTTAAGTATTCTATTTATATCTTATTTATATTTGAACTCTCTTTTATTATCTTATATGTTATATAACATATTCACCATTTTTTTATATTTTAAATCTTTTATTTATATTTTATTTGTATTTGAAATTCCTTTTCAAATTGTTCTATTTTCTTTTTTATCTCTTATATATGTTACGAATTTATTTTTATTTTATTTGTGTACGCGTGAAGGTACTTTGAAAATTATTCAATAATTGCGGTTATTCGCAAAATGTTAGATTTTCTGGTTCAGTTTGATAACTCTAGCCGCATACCAGTGCGCGCGTTGGCACGTTTTATGTCAGACACTCTGTATATCCGTCCTCCTCATCCCATCGACGTCGAATCGAATCGTGCAACCCCGCGATATCGTCGACGCTGTCGTTCGTCAACTTTGCGACTTTAACTTTTATTCGAGCCAGTGTCACTGACGGCGAGCCCCTGAAGATTTTGATTCCGCAGAAACTTTCTTGCGCGAGTTAGCGGACGCGTCAACGAGAGCCGATTCTCGTTTGGAGTCGCGGGAAATGCTGCTTTTTATTTTCCGACTTCGTCGCGGTTCGATCGTCACCCCGCTCGACTTACCGTCGCGAATATCAAAGGAAATTGCGCTTCAATTTGTCTCGCCTTTGTCGACAGCGTCGAGAGTCCTGAAATGAACGCGGATCGCCCTTCGATCCCGTCTTTGTGTTGATTAATTTGTATTCGCTTTTCTTTGTACCTTTGTACCTTTTCCGATGGAAGCTTAATTAGAGATTTAATGAGGGACTCGGGCGAAATTCTTTCCTCGAGGGAGACGATCGCCGCTTGGTTCTTCCGACTTTTATCGCGAACACGTCAATGTGAACATACACACACATACATTCTCTCTCGAGCGCGCATCTCAGCATCCCTTTTATAGAAGAAGACTGAAACGATTAGCGCGGAATCGAGAGCGTACCACTATAAAATTGAACGCGAAAGAAACGATCCCAGCCCCCTCCTCGCCGTTCATTACGCGTCGGGAAATACGCCACAGCTACAGAAAAGCTCGCTCGCCCGCTCGCAGAACGCCCACGACCTCGGGGATTGATTCCTCGATCACGGACGAGATATGGACATCGGCGAACGAGCGGCGCTTCTGCCGCACCTCGACCACCTCGACCGGCATCGGCTCGTCCCTGAACCTGCATGAGAACAATCGTTCGCTGGAGTCGCGCGACGGCGACTTCTACTCCACCGACATCGAGGATTCCAAGGACACCTATCGCAGGTTCTACCCGACCACCCCGACCACCTCCGGTCTCGGCTCGTCCTCGGACCGACAGTCCGTGGAGACGCAGTGCGGCTCCAGGGACCTGCCGGATCACCTGTGGGCGGCCGCGATGGAGGACGGCTTTTCGCGCTTCAACGCCATGAAGTCGCTGCAGACGATCACACGGCAGCCCCGGCCGAACCACGACTGGGTGAAGACCGAGCGGATCTCGAGGTTCACCAAACACCGCACCATTAGCCAATCGCCGCAACGCGAACAGGAGATCTGGACGTCCAAGTTGAACGAGAGCGACGTGTCCGGCTACGCTACGCAGCGGAATCTCGGCCCGCACAAGTGCCACCATCAGGCCAGGAGGAGCTTCTCCACGTCGATCGTCGCGGACCTCGCAGTCACGCCGGACGGGTCGCAGCAGAGCCTCGGCAGCGGCGAGTTCCTGGTGAGTCTCGATGTCGTGTCGGTGTCGTGTCTTGTAGGATGCGGGTAGTATCTCGATGTAGTGGCTCTTAGAACGCTGGATGTTTTGGAATTGTCTTTAGGAATTGATTCATTAGCAAGCACTATTAAGCTTCCATATACCGAGATATGAAAGGCGAATACATTTCCATTGCGATTTTTTCAAAAGAATCAACTTGTCACAAGGAATCAGTGACATATACGAGTGATAGCAATTATTTTTCTTTCCATATGCATATAAACAAGCCAAATCTACTTTACACAATTGCATAAAAATATGCAGGGTTGACTGTGGGAAAAGTTTTCCAGTTGTCGCGCATAGATCTAATATTCGCATAGAAATTTCCCAAGGCTTTTTCCAAAGTAATATAGATATCAAGACCAACGAAATTACATAGGGAATACTTTGTTTACACCAATCGTTAAATTCACATACACACGCTCAAATATATGCGAGCACACATAGTAAAACAAAAAACACATATAGTAAAAAATAAAAAAACGATTTAAATATTTTAGACTATCTATATCTTTTAAGTAGTCCTTTTAAATATTTAGAATTATAAAATATAAATGCGCTGAAAAAAATGTCGTCATGTATTTTGATCAAGTCTTTGGGAAACTTTTAATTGATTAAATGGAGTTTGAGGTTTCCACTTAGAATCACGTGTTTGAGATATTACGCTTTTAACTTAATTCGGCTTAACGTAATTTCTTTCAATTTAATTTTTCTCAATTACAGAGACTATTATTTTTTTATTTAGAAAATTAAATTGAATCCTAATTAAATCGCACACGAAATTTTCTACATGAGTAAACAAAAAATTTATTTTAGTGCTTTAGGTTACTAATTTCTAAATTTTATATTACTACGTACTAATTTTTTTAATATATCGAGTGATACATATATTATACATATGTTATACTATAAGCTTGTCAAAAAGTGCGCGCCTCTCTGTCTCTGCAGAAATCTGAGAATATACAACGCTCGTAAAGCGATCCGAAACTTCTTTTGAGCGGCGCCGAAAGTTAAGAACCAGCGTACAGTTCGCTCATTAAGCTCGCGTATTACAGTTATTATCGCTAATCGCGTTACGGGACGCTCGCGCGGACGCCGCGGATTTAATAGCGCCTTGGGATTCTCTCGCGAGGGTGGCTCTCTCTGCGCTTTGTCCTGCGCCACGTGGACGAGATCGCCGGTTAGTCGGCCGTTCTTGAAAATGCGCCGCGGTAGAAAAGAGACGAAATTACAAACTACCGTCCTCGGTACGCGATCCAACGCTCTCCAACCATTGATTTTCGTAATGACCGCGGCCACTCGAGAGCGAAAGTCCTCGACTGAAGCCAAGGGTAGCGACGACGGCGGCGGCAGCTCTTAACCCTTTCCTTGTGCTTCCACTTCGCAGAAAGGGTCTTAACCCACTGACTTATCGCGCCGCGGACTTTGGATTACCTTGCGGCGGAGTCTGCGACGAGACAGGGAATAGGGAGAGAGAGAGAGAGAGAGAGAGAGAGAGAGAGAGAGAGAGAAGTGGAGAGAGGAAGAGGGAGAAGCCCCCATCGAGCACCTCGCCCCCGTTCAATGTTCTTCTTTTTGCCGCGGCGAAGGCTTTGACGCGAACTTGCCGGGACCGTAAACTGAATTTATCGCCGCGTCACGGTAGCGCTCGGTCTGTGTACATTTTAAGGCGGATTACCGACCTTCCTCGCGGCCTCTTCCTCCGGCAATTCTCCGTGGTAATTGAATATATATCTTGGTGCGGGAGTCGTGCGCGACAGCATGAGAGACGCACGCTCGAAATTAGAGCAAAAGCGGATCGTGCGTGCAATGACGACAGTGATATCGTTCTCCGAGAACGAAAAGGAGAACACGGAGATCGTAATATATCTGAAGATAATAATGCACAATGAAAACTTGTACACACAATAAAAATTACCATATAGGATTTTGTAACTCGGAAGAATAAACCGATAATCTGCAGTATAACTTTCTCTATTCTTTTGTTTCATATTCGCTACTTATACTTTAGGAACTGAAATATATGCTGTTACAACACTTGTTACATTTCTAGCGAAATTTACTATATTCCTTAGCAAGATAAATCTTACCGACAGTCTGTTCCTGAGCAACTAAAATAAAAAAACTTGAACAGCAAAATTGAAGAGAATTTATATGAAAGAAAATTATGTTTTATCTCCGTGGTACTCAAAGGTTCTTGGACTAATTAAATTTTAGGTTTTCTAGTGTATCTCTAAAAAGAGAAAAATCTAATCACCCGCGAGCCAGTTGTTTTATTATTTATTATTATTTTATATAGTTTATATTATTATTACTATTTATTATTATTATTATACTTTATTGAGAATTCATTTTTGTTTATTTCGCAATTACCGTACGTGGCGATGTCACACTTGCCGGTTTGCTGTTTCCATCGACGTCGTTACATTCGTAACGCGAAAGCAAAGGGTCCTCTGAGAGTCGCCGCGACCTCTCCTTCCAGCATGTCTCGGATAAATAAAATAAAATTCGCGTTTCCGCTGAGTACAAACAAAACGCGAAAAATGTTGCATCCACTCGCAACGAGCGCAACGAGCAACAAAGTTGACAGAAACTATTAAAACGACTAGCGTCGCTTTCGAGAAAAACTCGAATGCGCGTCGAATGTCGAGATTGTCGAGCCGAACTGCAAAAATTTTCAGAAGGACTCTTCACAGTTGCGCATACATCTTAAACGTTTTA